TTCTTCCCGGTCCAAGGCCCAGGCGGACTGGCGGGTGCTTCGTCGCGCGGTTTCCAGGAGTCGGGCGTTCCAGAGAGTCGCCCTTTTGTGACGCTGTTGCTGGCTTGTCTCCGCCGTTGCCCGCGCGCGCGAAGGCGCGTTGATCCCCGCGCCTGCAAGCCCCGCCCTGGCGGCGCCATCACATCGGCCAGCGCCGTTCTTCGCGCCGCGGCGCGGGGCACTTGTCTGTCGAGGCAAACTCTTCGCAGATTTTGCGGGCCCCAGGCCTGCCGGCTGGCCGCGCTCTGAGTGGCGCCGCGGGCGGTCCCGGGGCGCGCGCGCGCCGCTTCCGGGCCCAATCTCAGCGCGCCCCTTTGCTTGCGGGCGCGGCTGCGTCTGCGAGCGCGCTTTCCCTGCGCGCCGTTTGCAGGTGCTGTCTCTCCAGGAATATGGCGCGCTCGTCGCAGGGCCACTCGGTGTTTCTGTCCAGGCCGCCTCTTTCCATCCTGTGCTATGTCCCCCAATCGGGCTCGCGGCAGCGGCGATGCCCCACGTGTCTTCTGAACGTGGACGCGAGGGCGCGCGGCTCGGGCAGGGCTGCCAAGCCTGAGAGGGCGCAATACCAATTCTCAGTGATATCGCGGAGGTCGCTGTCCTTTCGGCAGCGCTGAGGCGAGCGACGTCACAGATGCAGCCGCCTGTTTCTACCAGCCTGTACCAGTCCAGGGTCACAGAAAGACTCATCGTCCGTTGACGCGCTGGCTGTTGTCCTTAGCTTCTCCCTTCCGTGCGTTGACCCTCATTCTGCGGGCATCGCATCCGAAGATGTTGCTGCGTGCTGCGGCTATGCTCGCGCTGAGTGTCTCGGATTCGCCACTGTCCGCGAGGGGCTCGCACGTTGCCGCGGCGCCCCCAACCGCGCCGAACAAAGTGAAGCACTGATCTAGTCCACCTGGGGCAGAGCTCGTCGCCCCATCCAGTTCCTGCATCCACTTTCGGAAGTGCGGCGCAGCAGGTGGGCTTCGGCATTCAACCATTTCGGCCTCTTTGTATTTCATTTTGCTCAGCAGTGTCCGGACAGCATCTTCTGCGGCGCTCTGCTTCTCATGGCTGATCCACCGCCCGCGCCTCGAGGCCCACCCCCGAAGTGGGGGCGCGCCTTTGTTCTGGATCGGAAGTCCCGCCCGCTAGGCCCACGTCGGCGCGGAACGTTCGCGCCGGCTTGGTTTCTCTGGTTTGGGCGCGGCATAGCCGCCATGGCTCTCCGTCGATTTTGTCTTCGGCGCCCGCTGTCCCCCGCGCGTTTGGCCTCGGGCTGCTCCGGCGCATTGCGCCGGCGCACCGCGCGCGCGGCAGCGGCTTTCCCCGCCGCGAACTCACGCGCAGCGGGAGCGAGGACGCCGCGCGCTGGTGCCAGTGGCGACCTGGTCTGAACACCTGCCCACTGCGCAAGTATGCGCGGCTGTGGCGACATGAACGAAGGCTGCGGCATCTTCATCACTGGGCTCACGTGCCTCGCAACCAGTGATACATGTCTAGCAGAGATCGCAGAGAGAAGCCTCTCCGATTGATTTCGATAGTCGTCTACTCTTCTGTTAATCGCATCGATCATCTTATCGAACATGGCAAATTCAGCACCCGCCTTATGTCTCATCCTATCCAGGCGACTTGTGTTCATCGCAATGTGGTTCTGGAGCTGGTTGCTGTAGTCGGCAGTTATATGTTCGCATGCCCCGATTTGTTCGTACGTGTCTCTGACCTGTCTCTGCAACTCCACCCGCGCATGGAGATCACGTCGTTGTTTGTAGAAGCTCGACCATCCGCGTTATTCAGCTGCTCTTGGAGGGCAACCTGGTTCATCCTTGCACCACTCATGGTGGTTACGATTTCTGCCATTTGACTATTGACCTGCTCCCGCTCATTGTTCTCGGCGGGAGGCTGCTCTCGCAGGGCGTCGAATTTTGCCTGGTGCGCATGCAGCATGTCACCGCGCTGCCTATTCCAGAGCGCATCGCTCTCCTGGCCGGTTTCAACTATAATGGGCCATTGGCCCGATACCGTGAACTGTTCATTGGGGTAGGCAGCGCTGCTCTATATCCGCTGCTGCGCCTGATACTGATCCCTGGCATTATGGGCAGCAAGGGCTTCGACGTCTGCGCGAGCTTCAGCGCCGATAACTGGTCGGACTCTGCGTGGTTGACTGGTCAATTCGGCCATCGCGGCAGACAGCATGGTGCTGCAGAGGAGGGAAGAAGACAGAGAGAAACCGAAGGCTGGAGCTACCTACGCCTGCGCCTTGAACTGCTGTTTCACAGACCTGGACCTTGAGCTGGACTGTACAAGCGGACCTCATCCAAACTACAACAATGACGACCAGAACTATGAGCCCGAGGCGTATCGCTGGATTCCGGAATCTCCAAAGAAGGGCACGGCCACTAAGAGAAGCTGACCCCTTTCTGAGCAGTGGGCTACGACCAAATGTGATTTGCTGAGCACTGTAAGCTTCCTTTGCTTCGCCCACACACACCCGTTCCCTTCAATAGGAGACCTGCGGCCCCCTGCCAAGGATTTCAGCTTGTGTGCTGGAAGAGATGCTCACCATCAGCTGATCATGATGTCTTGGCCTCCCTCAGTTTCCAGGAGACGACCCGCGCCGCGGACGCATTTCATAGCCGACCTGGAACTCCACAAAACATCCCATCGTGTTATGCGCTGTCGGAAAAGTGAAAGTTGTTGGACCTGTGTGACCTGGGGGACCTCTGTGGCCTGTGGGGCCCGTGAGACCTGTGACACCTGTGGGACCGGTGGGACCTGTGAGAAGTGAGGCCCGCGAACGAAATCTATGGGACCCGTGGCACTGGCGGAACCTCCGGGACCTGTGGCACCTGGGGGGCCTCTGTGGGACCTGTGAGACATGCGACACCTCTGGGACTTGTGGGACTTCTGGGACCTGTGGGAACTGTAGGGTTTGCGAGGCCTGCGACACCTGTGGGACCTGTCAAGCTGGTTGTACCTGTGGGATCCGTGGGACGACCTGCGACACTTGTGGGTCCTGTGGGACCTGTGGGGCCTGCGAGGCCTGCGAGATCTGCAAGACTTGTGGGACCTGCGAGACCTGCGGGATGCAGAAAAGTGGCCCACGCTGGGGCGGGAACGCCATTCTAAACGACGGAAGCACAGCGCCAATCTGAAAATGAGGCTCACGCTGCAGCGAGTGCACCATTTGAACAACTGTAAACAATCGGAGTGTAAAACGCCATAGACAGTTCGCGCAAATCTTCTGTAAGAAAACAAGACGCGGAGGGGGGGCGAAACCAATCAGGACACATTCAGGGGAGAGAGGAGAGTAGCATGCAGCATTCATATAGTATTACTGTAGAAGGGATGACGCAAGGGAGAGGAGAGGAGTGGAGGGGAGAGAAAGAGAAAGGGGCAGGTGATGGGGTCGCAGAGATCAAATGTCAGCTTTCGTTCAATACGGGGTCTCCAAAGTCCCAAACATTTCTGCAAGGCAGGCTTCGCATCCTGAGACCCGTGGCCCAGTGCGGGCCCCGAGAAGCCGAAACGGGGAAGAGACTTCCGTATTCTTTCGACACGTTGGATGTATGGGGAAGTGCTCACTTTTGCTGGCTCACTCCTGTCTCCTCGAGCCGCCGTCTGCGGCCATTCGTGTTCGAGCCAACCGCTGGGCGATGACTGGGTCCCGCCAGGGGAAAACAACTTCCGCGCTTACCTCTTCGAGACTGAAGCTTCCGTCACAATCCTCTGCTCGTGCTTCTGCCGCTGACTTGCTCAGATGATTACGGCCAGGAAATGTTGCTCAGCGTGTCGCGGCGGCTGCACCTGCGACGCGCTATGTCGCGCAAGCTGACAGAGTGTCGCTCTGCCTCACGGGGCGGGAGGCTTGGAAGAACACAGGCCTCCGACGCTTTTGGCGACGGGGACGTGCTCAACGTGCCGCGCCGAAGCGTGGTGGGCCAGAACCAGCCACGCGACACTCCATGTAGAAGCGACTCTGTCGACTGTCAGTAGTCCCCCCTCCTCATCCTGATCATGCTCCTTCTGGCTCCCCCGCCTCCACCTTCTCATCCTCCTCCACCTCCCCTTCTTGGCGATCGCGGCCTCGCGCGCAGCGACGAGGCGCAGCAAGTCGGGTGCCGCAAGCAGCCTCCACCTCCCCGCAAAGCTCCGACGCCCTGCTTTTGTTCGCGACACGGACCGAGCCGTTCTTTGACGGTCCTGGGGCCCGGTGAGGGCCCCTAGAAGTCGCTCTTCGATCGTCAAAACGTTTCTCAACCTCCTCCTCCTCCTCCGCCTCCTCTTCATCCTCCTCCCTCTTTCGAAAGTGGCCCAAACCATCGATCGTGATTTTGGTTACAGCGCGAGGACGAAGTCCGGGCCCCGCCCCCTCCTCCTGAGCACCCTCCTTCTGTAGGAGCCTCCCAGGTGGGGTCCGAGTAGATGCAGTCGGAGGGTCGCGCCGCATGGCCGATGCATCGGCGACGTCGGCAATGCATCGGCGACGCCAGCGTGGAGAAAATCGAGATCCACATCGAGCCGCATCGCCGACATATCGGCAATGCGGCGCGATCAGCCCCATCTACTCGGACCCCATCTGGGAGGCGGAGGCCTAGATTCTAGCCCCCCCCCACTCCGCCTGATCCTCCTCCTGATCCTGCCCCTGACCCAACTCCTCCTGATGCTCCCCCTTCTCCTCCTCGTCTCCTCCTCCTCCTCCTGATCCTCCTCCCTCCGGCTCCCAAGCCTCCGCCTCATCCTCTCCCACCCCCCCGCCCCCATGTTCCGCCTCGCACTGCCTGCGCAATTCCTGGGTTCGGTTGAGGGGCGAGCCTCACCTACCACCTCCAGCCGCACCTTCGTGCTGCCCCTCGAGGCTCGAAGAGAGACAGAGAGAGAGAGATAGAGACGGCGAGAGAGAGAGAGAGACAGAACTAACAATAAACGAAATGATCCCGCAATCGCATTCCCGCCCGCTGGCAGCAGAGTCCGCACGAGCGGTCCTTCACGAGCCGAGCGAGGGTCCGACGCACCGCCACGAGGTTCCCGAGCAGCTTCTGCACGAGCTCCTGGCAACGCCCGCCACTCTCGGCGTCAGTCGCTCAGTGCTGCTGCTGCTGCTGCTGCTGCTGCTGCGGCTTCTTCTGGCCCCAGACCTCCTCGCTCCGTAACAAAAAAGCGACGGAGGGGTTTCGGATATCATCCCCCTCCTCCTCCTCCTCCTCCTCCTCCTCCTCCTCCTCCTCCTCCTCCTCCTCCTCCTCCTCCTCCTCCTCCTCCTTCCTCCTCTCCTCCTCCTCTCCTTCCTCCTCCTCATCCCCTCCTCCTCCTCCTCCTCCTCCTCCTCCCTCCTCCTCTCTCCTCCTCCTCCTCCTCCTCCTCCTCCTCATCCTCCTCCTCCTCCCTCCCCCCCTCCTCCCCTCCTCCTCCCTTCGTCCTCTAGTCTCCTCATCCTCAGCCTCCCTCCTCCCCCGTCTTCTTCTCCTCTTCCTCCTCCTCTCCTCTTCTTCTCCTCCCTCCTCCTCCTCCTCCTCCTCCCTCCCCTCCTTCTCCACCCCCTCCTCTTCCTTCGTCCTCTACCTTCCCCCTCCCTCCTCCTCCTCCTCCTCCTCCTCCTCCTCCTCCTCCTCCTCTCCTCTCCACAGCCTTCTCCCTCCTCCTCCCTCCTCTCCTCCCTCCTCCTCCTCCTCCTCCTCCTCCTCCTTCCTCCTCCTCCTCCTCCTCCTCCTCCTCCTCCTCCTCCTCTTCCTCTTCCTCCTCTTTCCCCCTCCTCCACCAAACTCCTCGCGCTGTGACAGAAAACGACGACGGAGGAGTTGGGCCATGCTCGGCCTCCCGGGTGCCCTCGCAGGGCCCCGGGGGCCATCAAAGAACGGCTCGGAATGGCAAGCAGATCCTGGGGAAGGTGTCCAGACCTCCGGGGGTCGGAGGACGAGGGATGACGGGAGCGCAAGTCTGCTCCCGGACCGCGACGACGACGACGACGCGCAAGTCTGCTTCCGGACCTCGACGACGACGACGACGACGACGACGACGACGACGACGACGACGACGACGACGAGGGAGCCGCGCGGGAGTGCGCATCGTGGGCTTGCCGCGACGGCCGGGCGGGCGCGGTCCCATCGCTCCAGCTTCTCCTTGCGCGCCGTCTCGCACTTGCCTGCGCAGGAGGTCCCAACGCAGACCTCCCAGAGAGGTCTCCCCCCCCGGGACATGGAGGTCTGGGGGTGGACACCTCCAGGAGGTCTCAAGAGTCAGAGGGTGTCTGCGGTGACAACCGAAGCACGCTTAGCCCCTTCCCCGCTTTCTTCTCGCTCTTCTCGTCTTGCCCGCTGCTCGCTTGCACTGCTAACTCCCGCCGCCATCCAGGCCCCCCAAGTCACGCTCGCCCCGCGGGAAAGAGCGGACCGCCCGAGAGGCCCTGACGGGGCACGCTCCGCCGCGCCATGGCCCGTGCGCAGTGGGGCAACTGGTGATCACTCATCCAAGAGACCTGCCCGCTGGAGGAGGAGACCCTCTGGAGACCTCCCTGGGCACCCCCAGAAGAATGCAGGACCAGTCAGCACCGAATCGCGAGATAGTCTGAGGACGCCGCCAGCCCCAGGGGCATCCCTGAGAGGCTGGCCAGCGAAAACAACCGAGGACGGGCGAAGAGGCAAGGACGCACGAGCACCCTTGGAAAATGGTTTGTCATTCTTACAACTGCTGACTGGGCCGCGAACGAACCGAACCGGCCGAACCGGACGGGCCAGCCTGCAATGCGAACCGAACCGGCCGAACCGAACTGGCCGAACCAGACCTCGGCGGTTCAAAGATGAGGCCCTGAGGAATGGGGACCGACCTAAGGATACGAAGCGATCCAAGGGTTGATGCACATCGTTTAAGGCACCTCATCCTGAGGACCCCACCCTTAAGGATCCCATCTCTTCACCACCCAAGACTGGCCTGCTGTGCGAGCCGAACTGGCCGAACCGAACCGGCCCTGCCCGCCCCCCCGCGGGAGGGGGGGGGGCGGGCAGGGACGACCCCCGACGTCATGAGTTGTTCACAGCATCGACCCCCAGAGCCCAGAAGTCTCGACCCATTCCCCGGGACCGGTTTTTCATCCCGGGTCGTTTCTTGACGGTCCCGAGGCCCAGTAGGGGCCCCCAGAGGCCGAACATAGGGAAAAACCGCCCGTCGTGATATTTTCTCGCGGCATGGCGGCCCTCCGAGCGCTGCCCGCAAGCATGCCCGCCTGCCTGCCTGCCTGCTGGCTCCTGCTGCCTGCCTGCCTGCGGCAGCTGCCGCAGCTGCCGCACGGGCTGCTGCACTCCTGCGCCTCCCGTCGTCTAGGCTTGCGCTGTCGTGCAGGCATGGGTTCTAAACTGCACACGGCGCATTCTCGAATGTCATGCAATTCCAAGAAACACCAGGCAAACCGGGTGCAACCCACAAGCCGACCTGCAGTAGGCAAACTCATGAGGTGAACCGTGGCCTGATAGAGAGAGAGAGAGAGAGCGAGCGTGTGAAAGATAACGAATGACCCAACGCTCCCTGCGCCGGCCGCAAGCCAGAAAACGTAAAAAGATGCACCCCGACTGAAATGGTACTATTAGCCTCCCGTCGTGGAGACATCGCGTTGCATGTGTTTTTACACAACGGGCGTTTCTGGCTACTTTCGGGCCCCGGGACCCTCACAGATCGATCCAGCTCAAAAAAATGACGCAGGAAGATCGGGTCCAGGGCCCTTGTGTTAATTTGTTATGATGTTGCATTTGTTGGTGACGTCGGATCTCAGGGAAGATCGCGACGGAAGGTTTTGGGCCCCCCTCGGCCTCCCGGGGGCCCTCGTCGGGCCCTGGGACCGTCAAAAACGGCCCAGCATGCAAAACCGATCCTGAGGAGCATCGCATGTCTTGGCATGCTACCCTGCCACCAGCTGCAAGACGGGAGTCACCTTATGATATGATTAACTCGGGACGAGTGCCATGATTTCCAGAAAGGCTCCGGCGGCCCTTGTTTCTGCAGCCCGTGTGGAACATACTCGGGGATCCGGGGAATTCTGGAAATCCTGGGAAACTTCGAGCGTATCGTTATCCTGACCTCTTGCTCCTCTGATGCTGCCGCCCGCTGCTGTCCGCTGCTAACCCGTCTCACCCCTCTCCTTCTCCTCCTCCTCCTCCTCCTCCTCCTCTTCCTCCTCCTCCTCCTCCTCCACGGGTGGGGACGCGATCTCGACAGACCCCGTTCGCCGCTTGGCACGAAGAAGGAGGAAGAGGAGGAGCAGGAGGGCAAGGGGGAGGTAGAGAGGAGGACGACGAACAGAAGGGAAAGGATGATGAATGTGATGATGATGATGATGATGATGATGATGATGATGGTGGTGGTGGTGGTGGTGGTGGTGGTGATGATGATGATGATGAGTATGATGATGATGGTGATGAAGATGAGGATGATAATGGTGGTGCTGGTAGTTAGTGGTGTATGATAATGATGACTATGATGACTAGGATGACCAGGATGATGATGCTGATGATGACGATGATGATGATGTTGCTGCTGCAGATGATGATGTGGATTAGGATGATGGGGATAATGATGACGATGATGATGATGATGATGATGATGATGATGATGATGCTGATACTGATGATGGTGATGCTGGTGGTGGTGATGTTGATGTTGATGTGGATGTTGGTGTTGATGTTGATGATGTTGATATTGATGTTGATATTGATGTTGATGATGCTGATGATGATGATGACGATGATGATCACCATCGTTATTAACTATGATAACGGTGGTGATGATGTTAAGGTGGAGCGTCAGTCCGCCGACCTCCGCTTGCCAGAGGTGAAAAGGCGTCTGAGATAATTGGCTGCCCCCCTCCCCCGTGTCCCCCTTCCCCAGGGTCCAACATCGCATCTGACTTGGGGGGGTGGGCGGGGGACGAGCTCTTCAATGACCCCCGGGGCTTCCAGAGCCTGCAAGTCTAGAGCTCGTGGCCTCCCAGATGCCCAAGATTCCATCTAAGCTTGTGCAAGCTGGGCTCCACCACGCTGGAGAGACCTCAAAACCACCAAAACATGCGCTTCTTTTCTGTCTTGACAGCGTCCGGGACGGCCAAAAGGGCCCCAAAGATCGCCCCAGGACGGCCCACAAGGCCCCCAAGATGCCCCCAAGTGGGCCTCACGCCGACTCAACAGGCTCCTAAGACGGCTCGCAAGAGCGTCAAGCGGGCCCTAAGAGGGGCCAAAGAGAGGGGACACGAATTTACATTTCGAGCCTTTCCCCCTGGCCCGAATCGACCCCCAGAGGCCCCTGCGTCGCCCCAAAGAGGCCCCAAGAGGCCCCTACGAGGCTCCCAAGAAGTCCCCAAGGGGGCCCTCAAGAAGCCCCGAAAAGCTCTCCGGATGCCCCGAAGAGCTCTCCAAGGGGCCCTGCCTGCAGGGTCGGCGGAATAGCTGAGCTACTTGAATAACTAACCTTAGGCGGAGGAGGAGGAGGAGGAGGAGGAGGAGGAGGAGGAGGACAACGAAAAGGATACGTAGCCGCAGGCGCGCCGATCCGTCCGAGGAGAGGCCAGCGCACTTACTTTACAGGAGTCGGGGCCTCACTGCGATCGAGCAGTGGACCGCGGGGGAGGAGGTCCCCCCACCGAAGGGGGGGAAGGAGGACACAGGAGGAAAAGGAGGCCCAGACTTCCGACGTCGTGGCTCCCTCACAGCAGCGAGGACCCCCCCCTGGCCTCGACGCCTTCCCAGGCACCGGCTTTCCTTCCCGAGCGTTGCTTGATGGCCCCGGGGCCTAGCAAGGGCCCTGGCCGAAGGCGGCCAGAAACCGCCGGTCGTGTTCAAGAACAGCACGTTCTGAGTGCGGCTCCGCTTCCCCCGCGCTTCCCTCCTCTCTGTCCGTTCCTGTTTGGTGCCCGACTCGCTTCTGGAGTGTCCCTTCCGTCGCTCGACCCGGCGTCTGACTTCTCCTGCCCCCCGCGGATCCCCCAAAAAGTTGCTTGCCCACGCCTGGATGTACAATGCCGCTGCAGGCGCACGGACAGCCGCAAAGACCGGAGCCTGCCTAGAGCACGACCCCGAAGCGACCCAAGCTCCGAGGGCGCTCCGGCCATCCGCGGCCCTCTCCGCCCTTCCCTCGCGGCCTCACTCGCCGCCCTATAGCCCAGTGCCCAAGTGGTACTGCAGCAGCCCTGCCGTACAGTGGAGGCCAGGTCCACAGGAAACAGCTCTGAGCCCCCAGGACGTCCGTTCATTCTTGGTGCGGGAACGTCGCGCCTTCCACAGCAAAACCATCGAAGCCCAAGAAACCCAAGGCACCCTGGAGGCAAGCAGGGTGTTTCTTGGCATGGGCCTCCACTGTAGCCACGACCGCAGCCTGGATCCACGGCGCCGCCGATCGAACAAGTTGTTTGCCATCAGCGCGAGGCGGTCTGGGGGGACAGCCTGCCCTCCCCGGCCTCGTACCGCTCCTCTCTCTCTCTCTCTGCCGCCCGTGGCCGCCCAGGAGCTCGTCGGGCGGAGCCGCGGATGCAGTCCAAGAAGTAGTCGGGGTTGCTGATGGAATCGACGGGCTGAGCCTGCCGTGACATACGCTGCCTCCTCCTCCTTGTGGTCTTCCTGCTCCTCCCCCCTCCCCCTCCTCCTACTCCTCCATTCCTCTTCCTTATAAGTAACTCCTCCCTGTCGCGCCCCCCTCCTCCTCCTACCCCCCTTCCTCCTACTCCTCCATTCCTTACCCGTATGAACAACTCCGCCCTGTCGCACCCCGAAGCGTGTCGGTAGGGCGGTCCTGGCGTTCTGCCTCAGACATCCCCACCATTCATGATCCTCAAGCTTGAAACTTGCAAGAGCTTCACGGATGGAGGGCGGGTCGCCTTCAAAATGGGGCCCTTGCATGCGCGCCGCGCACATTCGTCACAAAACTTTGCAAGCGAATCACGGATGGAGGACGGGCCGTTTTCAAAATGTGGCTCTCGCCTTAACGCCGCGCACATTCGCCATCAACATTTGCAACGGCTTCGCGGACGGAGGGCGGTCCATTTCCAAAATCTAGCTCTCACCGCAACGCTGCGCACATTTGTTGTGTTAAAAATGCAAGAGCTTCACGGATGGATGGCGGTACCTTTTCAAAATGCGGCTCTCGCGTTAGCTTCGCCCACATACGTCTTAAGAGTGTGCGGCAGTTTGAAGGATTCTCATGGTTAACGTCCTAAAAATAGTTTGTGCGGAACAATGTAGAACTGTCGGGGCGAAACGGTTACGTCGATTCACGGTGTTAAAGTCCCGGGGGTGGTGTTCTGGCACGATTCAAGGTCGTCAAGACGCAACAATAAGGTTGATTCGTGGCGTCGAAATCCCAGGAGCGAAGCTCCGGCACGGTTCAGGATTTTCAAACGGTTGTCTTCCAACGGGGCAGTTCCCTCAGTGGAAATGAATCCTTGTAGGGGCATGTGAAGGGGGAGCTTGGAGGGAGGTGTATTGCAACATCGTTGATGGGTCTTGGGTTTACACTGGTCATCCTCCTCCTCCTTTTCCTGCTTCTCCTCCTCTCTTGTCCTCCTCCCCCCGAGGACTCCGACTTCGTGACTATTTTCGCAACGTGCACCCCCAGAGGTCTCGGCTCCCTCTGCCCATCCATACTCCCACTCCCTTGCCGCGGCAAACGCTGTTGACGGAACGCGCTGTCGCATTGGAACTAGGCCCATGCGGGTACTCAGCTATCCAGGCCCAGAGGATGACCAGGAGGAACAGGAGGGGTAGAGGCAGGAGAAAGAGCAGGGGAGGAGCAGGACGAGGAGGAGAAGGAAAAGGTTTTCCGATTGCGGCATTCCGTCAGCAGCATATGTTTCCCACCAAATAATGCTTACACTGCTGTGTCCTTGCTTGTGCTGTGACGACCTGGCCCTGCGTGCTCCAGTCCGCCCTTCCTGGTCGGAGGTCCGGGTTCGTTCCCGATCGGTGCTCTGTGTCGGGTGCCTTGTATTTGCCCTGAGTGCCGCAGCTGGACGCTCCATTTCCGCTCGGTGCTTTGTGTTTCGTTGCCCTATGCGTTGGCATTGCAAGGGCCTACTTACTTGGGACGCATGCACAGGCGCACTGGCGTCACTCTGAACAAAGATTCGGCCGACATTAAGGCGGCCCGAGGGTTACACAAACCTCATGTGGATGTTGATTCCTTGTGCTGCATCTTAACATGTTTAATGACGGAATGGAATACATCGCAGCGCGCGTAGGACCGTAAGGATTCGTTTGGGCTCAACTCTTTTCCCCAAGCAGTGCTTGCACTGAAGGGGTCCTCGCGGAAATTGAAACATTTGGCGAAATTGTCCCGCCGGTTTTGGTCGCACGCTGGGTTCCCGGGTTCCCGGTTCCGGGTTCCCGGGTTCCCAATTCTGGGTTCCGGGCCGATTTCGGAGAGCGGCGAGGTTCCCTGGTTCCCGGGTTCCTAATCGATCTTCTTATCGATCGTTCTCACCATCGATCTCATTACCCACTTCTCTATCGATCTCACCATCGATCTCACAAACGATCTCACTATCGATCTCACAAGCGATCTCACTAGAGATCGCATGATCGATCTCGCGATCGATCTCACTATCGATCTCATTGAATCGATTTCACTCTCGGTCGCACGATCGACCTTACAATCGTCCTCACTATCGATTCCACTATCGATCTCATTATCGATCTCACAATCGATCTCAAGATCCATACTATTAATTTTCAATTCATCCACTGATTGGGGTTCTCTCATGTGTAATTTAGTAGCTAACCAATGCTGGCTAAACACCAGAGCGGCCTCGATATTGAAGTCGATTGCCCGCGGCGCCTTGCTGTCGCACCAGAGCCGCGCTAGCTTTTCTGAAAACTCGAGGCGGCCTGCAGCGTTGTCCGCCGTGCGCCGTATGCGGACCGATGAGCTCACGGAGCCGATCATGAGGTAGGCCACAAAGATATATATATATATACCCACTCACGGTGTCGCTGCTAGCCAACTGTCGAACTTGAGGGCCCCTGTGCGCCCCGGTCGGGCGTCTGTGCCCCTGACGCCTCATGCAGCCCCGTAGGAAGCAGGGCGCGAGTCAAACCCTCGTCGGCCTGGGACGAGTGCGCGAACTCTGCCAACAATGATGTTGCGTGGATGGTGCGAAACTGGGTACGGGCACGACGTTGTCCGAAGTGACTGGACACTTGGCACGCCATGGCCTTCAATCATATTTGTTGCGCTCGAGAGCGCTGCTTGAAACCTTCCAAGCACATGCTAGGATACCTTCCAGCCGACCCGGAGAGCTGTGTTGACGTCCGAGATTTCCTCACACCAGAAGCCCTGTGCCCTCGCACCTGCAACATGTGTCGCTTGTTTGGGATGCCACCGTCGAATACAACAAAGAGATGGCAAGGGTTTTTAATTCAGGGTTTCTGGAACCTGCCACATGCTGGCAAATGCGACGCAGATCAAATCACGAAGGCAGGCAAGAAATTTGAGGAAACGGCCGGCAAAACGGATAATTGCTTGCCACGCCCGAGCCTCCAGAGAACAGCGTTCAACTTCCAGGGCAAGATGGGCGGGGAGCATGAACTGGGCCACGAAAATGAGTGGAGAAGGCGGTAACGATGCAGTTGAGGGTGGACTCGCAGAGGCCAAGGTTGAGGCCCCTGACTTCGCGGGCCTGGCTCTTGTACTTGCGGGCGGGCGCCTGCCAGGAGAGAGCGTTTCCACCTCGGCCCGACATCATGCCCTCTGTCGACAATGGTCAAGAACGTCATCACACTGAGGTCGGCGAGGTCGGCCCAGGACTCGGCATCCGTGTACTCCTGGGAGGACGACAGCGATCTTGCTCTCGCGAAGATTGCCGCACGCCCAAGCGGCTAGCAGCCAAGCTGGCTGGGTTCGCAGACAAGGAATGAGAAACAACAACAAATAGGGAGGAGGAGGAAGAGGAGAAGGAAAGACGAGGCAAAAGCATGAGGAGGAAGAGGAGGACGACGACGACGGCAACGACGACGACTACGACGACGGCGACGGCGACTGCGACGGCCACGACGACGACGACAATTCTCGGGCCATATATGGTCGAGGGTTTGGGCCCACCCCCTCCAATGCTAATGCAATCGGCCCCCCCCCCCCCGCGCGATGCCCCCCCCCCCCCTGTGGGCGTGGGCGTGGCGTGGTGGCTCCCCCCCCCTGTGGATGTGGTGTGGGTGTGGTGTGTTGCTGTGGGTGTGTGCGGGGTGACGCCATGGTCCTCCTCCCCCCCTCCCTCCCCCCTGTGGGTGCGGTGTGGGTGCGGCGTGTGGCTGGGATTGGCGTCATGTTGACAGCTCCGGTGCTCGACGTCGTCGCCGCCGCCGCTGGTGGTGCCGTCGACGTCGTCGTCGTCGTCGTCGTCGTCGTCGTTGTCGTTGTCGTCGTCGTCGTCGTCGTCGTCGTCGTCGTCGTCGTCGTCGTCGTCGTCGTCGTCGTCGTCGTCGTCGTCGTCGTCGTCGTCGTCGTCGTCGTCGTCGTCGTCATTGCCGTCGTCGTCGTCGTCCTCCTCCTCCTCCTCCTCCTCCTCCTCCTCCTCCTCCTCCTCCTCCTCCTCCTCCTCCTCCCCCCCATCCCATCTTCCCATCTGGGGGGGGGGAGGGGCTCGAAGACCCTGGGATCCATCCCATCTGGGGGGGGGGGGCCCGAGGACCTGGAGCCCGTCGGCCCTACGGCGGCCGTTCATTCAGCACGATCCGGACACGCCGGAACGCCCTCGGCGAAGCGCAGCTGCTGAAAAGTATCCCGAGGCCTGAAAACTCCTTGGGAACCCACGAAAACGTGAGAAAATTCACGACGACGACAACGACGACGACGACGACGAAGACGATGACGACCACGACGACCACGACGACGGGCAGAATCCAAGGCGCGGCGACATGGCCGCCGGGCCCCGCCGTGGCACTGCAGGGCGCCGCGGCCGCTGCCTGGACGAGGTGCACCCCGTTGAGCTGGGAGCTGCGCAAGCGCCTGCCAACGCGCCGCGTCGCTATTCTTGAAGATTCCTCAGGGATCCCAGAAGGGAATCCGGAGGAATCCTGAAGTATTGCTGGAGGTCTGGGGGGGGACTCCTCAGGTATTCTTGGAGACTTCCCGAAGGATTCCTATCGGAGTCCTGAAGGAAGTCTGTTGAATTCTTCGGGTGTTCGTGGGGACTCACTAGGGGATTCGCGAGGCACTCGCAGGAATTCGCGAGGATGCCTAAGAGGCTCGTGTGCCGGTCGGATCGGCCGCGCCCGAAATCACGACAGCGCCGTGCAGGCGCCGAGCCGCCTCGGATCCCTTGGGCATCAGACTCGAATCGGATTGAGATCGATTTCGAGTCGGATCGATCTGATCGAATCCTAAATCCAGATCCGCCACCGTTTTGAAATTTCGCAGGTGGGGCGGGAATGTCCGCTCTACTCTTCAGCCTCCTTCGATTTCAAAAGGTATTTGATCCACCTCCCCCCAATACTGGGTTAACAAATGTTCGAGGCATTCGCTGCATGGCAGCAGTCGTCGCCAGGCTGGTTCCTAAGCTTACACGCATGGGGCTATCAAACCTCCGTCCGGAGAACATTTGCCTCATCCCCTCCGCCCCGAGGCCCCCTCCGCCCTGCAATTGCCCAGGCCGTGCGGAGACCTGGCCCCCCGCCCTGGAAGGTCGAAGGAAGAGGTTGCTTGACGGTCTCTGTCGATGCTCGACCCCCTGGGCCTCCAGAGGCCTCCAGGGACCTCCCACGCGCCCTCCAGCAGGAGGACGGCTCTGTCAGGGCAGCCCCCTCCACCCCTTGAGGAGGGTTGGGGGCCACGGCCTTCCCACAAAACAACATTGTCTGTTACCTCTGCCGGCTTCCGCCGGCCTTCTGGGGGGGGGGGGCACTACCTCTGCTGCGTAGAGTCCCCCAGGAACCAAACATGCGACGCTCTGATTTGTTCATAAGCGTTCTCCGCAAGTCCTGGCCCTTTCCCCGGGACCACCTTTTCATCCCGGGTCGTTTTCCAAAAAACCTCCCGTCGTGATTTACCTCGACGCCAGCATGTCTGGGTCTGGAAACTTCATCTGAAGCCTGAAGCCTACCGCATTCGCGGGTCGACTCTGTCACCGATGCGACAACCCACGGGGACGCGCGAGGCGCTCTGCTTCCGCCGGCCTCCGTCCAGGAAAAGATGTCCCGAGACGTGCGGCGTCTGTTTTGTTCCATGCGCGGCCCCCGCAGTCCCGGCCCACTTCCTGGGACCGGTCTTTCCCCTTGCGTCGCTCTCGTTCTTGACGGTCCCGAGGCCCGGCGAGGGCCCACGGATGCCGAAAAGGGAGAAAAACTCCCCGTCGTGACCCTTTCGCGACGAGGGCATGTCTGGGGAGATGTCTGTCTCCGCCCTGGGGCCTGGCTGCACGGCCTGGCTGTCTGTCGCCGCTCTGGGGCGCCCCCTGGGAGGGGGGGGGTCCAGCGGAGCGGCGCCGCCCGCAGATCCGGATGGCCAGCCCTGACCGCAAGCCCGCCGTACTCTATGGGCGATTTCGCAGGTAGGGCGAAAACTCCTGCCTCACTCTTCGAGTTCTTTGATGTCGCTTTCCGCCCTGCTTTGTCGTTGCTGCTTCCGCCATAGACTGTTGCGGAAATCCCCGCCGCACTTTTCCGAGGCGGAAATAGCCATTATTTTTCGCATCGTTTGGAGCGCATCTGCGACTCCGCAAGCATTTTCGAGTCGTGAAGAAAATGCGACGGACAACTTTTAACAGTGTTCGGTCTTCTGGGGCCTGTTTTCCGGCCTGGGGACAATATAAAACTAATCAGGATACAACACCGGTCCTGGGAATAAAGTCTGAATCCGGATCCGCCGTGATCTGGTTAAAAATTTTCTGGCTCACAGGTGTGTCAGAGGTACACCCCGAACGATGCGAAAAAGCAGAGTGTACGCCGGGCGATGGCTTGGTAGGGGAGGGGCGGCGGAAGGGTACCAAGCCAGCGGGGTACCAAGCCGGCGGCATCGTGGGAGGGCGGGAGGAGGAAGGGGGAAGGGCTCCCGGATACCAAGCCGGCAAGGTACCAAGCCAGCGCTGGCTTGGTAGGGGGTGGGCTGCGGGGGGTATCAAGCCGGCGGGGTACCAAGCCGGCGGCATCGCGGGAGCGCGGGAGGGAGGGGAGGGGCTCCCGGATACCAAGCCGGCGGGGTACCAAGCCGGCGCTGGCTTGGTAGCGGGGGCGGCGGGGGGAGGTACCAAGCCGGCGGGGTACCAAGCCGGCGGCATCGTGGGAGGGCGAGAGGGGGGGGGAAGGGCTCCCGGATACCAAGCCGGCGGGGTACCAAACCGGCGCTGGCTTGGTAGGGGGCGAGCTGCGGGGGGTACCAAGCCGGCGGGGTACCAAGCCGGCGGCATAGCGGGAGCGCGGGAGGGGGGGAATGGCTCCCGGATACCAAGCCTGCGGGGTACCAAGCCGGCGCTGGCTTGGTAGGGGGCGGGCGGCGGGGGGAGGTACCAAGCCGGCGGGGTACCAAGCCGGCGGCATCGTGGGAGGGCGGGAGGGGGGGGGAGGGGTTCCCGGATACCAAGCCGGCGGGCTACCAAGCCGGCGCTGGCATGGTAGGTGGGAACCCCTGGGGGGGTACCAAGCCGGCGGGGTACCAAGCCGGCGGCCGCTGGCTTGGTAGGGAGAGCACCTGGGGGAATACCAAGCCGGCGGCCGCTGGCTTGGTAGGGAGGAGCCCCTTGGGGGGTACCAAGCCGGCGGGGCACCAAGTCGGCGGCCGCTGGCTTGGTAGGGGAGAGCCCCCGGGAAGAGGTACCAAGCCGGCGGGGTACCAAGCCGGGGGGAGCGGCCGCTGGAGGGGGACCAAGCCGGCGGGGTACCAAGCCGGCGGCCGCTGGCTTGGTAGGGGGGAGCACCTGGGGGGTACCAAGCCGGCGGCCGCTGGCTTGGTAAGAGGAGACCCTGGGGAGGTACCAAGCCGGCGGGGTACCAAGCCGGCGGCCGCTGGCTTGGTAGGGGGGGCCCCTGGGGCGGGTACCAAGCACGCGGGGGTACCAAGCCGGTGGCCGCTGGCTTGGTAGGTGGGGGGCCCTGGGGGGGTACCCAGATCATGCGCTACCCAAAAATTTGGGTAGCGAAAGCCGCTACCGGTCGTTTCGTTTTCGGCGCCCCCACGCGGTAGCCGCTACCGGTCGCGACCGACGCGGCACCAGCCCGAATCTACCATCTTACTTTCATCATACTTGTTCAACATGCAGAGTATCACATCTTACCTTTATCTTACGTTTTGAAAACGTAAGATGGTCATTATGGGACATGATGTAGGATGTATGATGTATGATGCACGGTGATTGAATGATGTAGGATGTATGATGTATGATGTATGATGTAGGATGTAGGATGTATGATGTATGATGCATGTATGATGTATGATGTACTACTTCTACACCAAGGCCCCCGCTACGGGTCCTTACTGCCCCAACTTCTGGGAACTAAGGAAACTACTACATTACCTAAGGTGAACAACAACTAGGCGGGGTCAACTAAGGTCAAACGAGGCACAGTACCCAGTCCGACATGCAACCAGCGAGCATTTACGACTCGAGCTTTCCAGGGCTTGCTTCGAAGCAGACTTCCAGGGCTTGCTTCCCTCGCGACCAGGGCAGCAATGGCGGCGCTGGCGACCATGGCGGCGGGGGCGACGGAGCAGCAGACCACGACGGCGCTGGCGACCATGGCGACCACGACGGCGCTGGCGACAGCGGCAGCTCAGACCCCGCTCGACGGGCAGCCCACGATCGTGCAGAAGCCGCACGACAGGGGAAGCTACGGAGTGGCGGACCAGGTCATGGGCACGGCGAAGTACAGGCTGGAGATCGCGCACAACACGCTCCAGAGCACGCCCGAGGCGTTCAAGGAGGCCACCAAGCACAGCGAGATGGCGCTCCACGTCCTGCACAAGCAGAAGGAGAGGGTGGTGACCACGCTTGGGCGCATGAGTACCAGGAGCATCAACCCGCATGAAGAAGCTGAGCGCAGCCAGGCGAAGCACTACCTCAAGGAGCAGCTGCGCGACATCAACAACGCCATCAGCGCGGTGAGGAGCGCGATCGGCATCACGGACGACAAGTTCGGCAAGATGGTGCACGGACCGATGCCGTGGGAGCTCGACTACATGAGGCGCCAGGTTGACGAGATCGACCACGTCTACACCCGCTGGACCAAAGGCCCGCACGGCTACGGCTATGACGAGGCCTCTTTCGTCACCCAGGGTGCGATGATGGCGACGGCGGATACGGAGAAGCAGGATTTCCTCCAGCCCCCGCGCAGGCCGCCATGCCCGAGTCCGAGCAAGAGCGTGGAGGGCTGGGTGAACCGCGGGGTGGTGTTGAGTGGTGAGGCCGTGCCCCCAGCCGCCGCTGCGGCCGACACTGGCGCAGCGCAGAGCAGGGATGTGAGGCTCTCGTCGCCAAGGGCAGCAGCAGCGGCAGGCTGGGGCATCGGGCAGTGAGCTGAGAGTTTGTCTCATTTCATCAGGCCATGTTTTGGTATCGTTTATCCGATCCCCATCCCCATTTCCATCCCCTTCGAGACCCCCGCCAAATCACCATCCAAGTTGGGGATACACCCCTCGAAACCCGAAGGGAACGGCCTATATCCCCATCTGAGGGGGTTAATCGGCCAGTGGGGCCCAGGCCACGCCGCTGGGGATGGGGATCGGTTAAACGATATTCATTGTTCTCCCTGTTTTTTTCTCTCACTCCCCCAGCGGGAGCAGCGCGTGCTCGGCAGCAGCACTCAGCGCGTGGGCCAATGCGGCCACGCAAATTTATATCAGCCGAGACAGGTGCAGGGCAGGGGGGATGCGAGTACAAGGCCGCCCTTCTTTGTTTGCCTCTCTTTCAAATCCTTATCCTTATCCTTATCCTCATTCTGGAGGCCTTCACGCCCATGCTGGAGTGCGCTTGGGGCCCTCTGGGGAGATCTCCCTCAGACTCGCGATGCCCTGATTCTTTCAATGCGCGGCCCCAGAAGTCCTGGCCCTATCCTTATCCTTATCCTTATCCTTATCCTCCTCCTCATCCTCCTTCTCCTTCTCCTTCTTCCTCCTCCTCCCCATCCTCCTCCACCTCCTCTTCTTCCACCTCCCCCTCCCCCCATCCTTCTAAAAGTTGTTAAGAGTCCCCTCTGCACCCCCCCCTCCCCCCGAAACAAACGGTTTTCAATGTCCCCCCCCCTGTGCTTATTGTGGGCTAGCCATTTTGGCGCAAACGTCCACATGGCCGCCAGGCGGCACATGCCACCAGTGCGGGTCCCCGTCCCGACTGTGGACGAGGACCTAGGCAAAGCGTTGGTCTCACACGTAGAGATACATGGATCGCGCGACGCGCTCAACTTGTACGCGTACCACCATCTGACAAAGGACAAAGCGGTGCACGCTGGCAGCCTGACGAAGAATGCTGCCCTGGTTGGTGGACCGAAACTGTGGGGGATTCGATGGCCTGGTGCACCTGGGGATCGTGCAGGGGGTCGTTGCTGGAAAGTGCGCAGAATTCGCAGCACGCGCGCGCGGGTGCGACCGTGCCCGCATGGGGGCCCCACCGCAGGCCGTGTG